AAGTAAAATAAAACTTAAAAAAAATAGAACAAGGCTCCTTGGTTAGGGCTAGGAGGCTGGTCCCAGGCCCAGTTCCATGACTGCTTTGCTGTGCAACCTTCAGTAACTGACCATCCTCTCTGGACCCCTTCTTTTACCTATGAAGGGATAGGGTTGGACTAGTTTGGTGTTTCCTGGAGTATAATATGATACATGTGCCTAATTTTTGGCATCTTGGAGAAAGTTCTAAGATCTGAGTTGGTCTTTATTTGAGTATCTGTTTTGGGGGGGATATCTGGCTCCTCAAAACAGTGTTCTCAGTGATCTGTTGCTTAGGATGGGATTCAGGCAGACGCTGTCCAGGGTCTGCCTTCTGTCATGTGCAGGAGTTGGGGAGGGGGATGGGAGAAGTGGGTGCCATGTCCACGCTGCCTCATCACTGTCCTCTCTCCCCACAGGCCCTACAATGTCAACTCTGCCTGGAGTCGTGAGGTAGGGCCACTTCATCCCAAACCCTCCCACCCTGCAGGCCCAAGCTGGAGTCCCTCCTCTGCCCCCTGACCCTCCTCTGATCAGCCCCTCCTCACCTCCTTCCTGTTCCTAGCAGCCCTTCCCAGTCCTGGCCTCCCTACTTGCCCACTCCTACAGGACCCTCTACTTCTTGGTGACCATAGTGATTTCCTTATTTCCTGCCAGGATCCCGGGAGATGACAGCACTCCTGCCGGCACTGCCTCATCTTTTCAATTCTCCTGCCATCTCAACGCTGTCCCATATATTTCCTGTGCTTTCTAGAACATTTCATTCCACCAGTACTTCCACGTGGCTACACTTAACTTCCTAGGTCCTCTATAAGCATCACCCTCTTACCCCCACCGGTGGATGCCTTCATCTCCTCCACGACCTCTTCCCCCACCCGGTTGTCCCTTAGCCCAGACTTCCTTATTTATGCCCTGCTTGGTTCTACCAACACCCCACTGATAGACCTCTATTGATCCCACCATTCCCAGATCTTCCTTTCGCAGTAGTTCCTCCTCCCTCCTCTCAAGCTTTCTCCTTCCCTGCCAAGCCTGCCTCAAGGTCCTCTCTTCTGGGTGACAGCCTCCCACCATGTTCCCCTGAGCCTCCAAGGAGGGGCTCAGGGGGCCCGATGGCCTCCCGCCCCCCGTGGCCCGGAAGCCCCGTGGGCCAGGGGAAGCGCCTCGGGAGCCCTGGTGCCGAGGATGGGCAACCGCACGTGGGAGGGCTGCCACGTGGACTCGCGAGTGGACCACCTCTTCCCGCCCTCCCTCTATATCTTCGTCATCGGCGTGGGGCTGCCCACCAACTGCCTGGCCCTGTGGGCCGCCTACCGCCAGGTGCGGCAGCGCAACGAGCTGGGCGTCTACCTGATGAACCTCAGCATCGCCGACCTGCTGTACATCTGCACGCTGCCGCTGTGGGTGGACTACTTCCTGCACCACGACAACTGGATCCACGGCCCCGGCTCCTGCAAGCTCTTCGGCTTCGTCTTCTACACCAACATCTACATCAGCATCGCCTTCCTCTGCTGCATCTCGGTGGACCGCTACCTGGCCGTCGCCCACCCGCTGAGGTTCGCGCGGCTGCGGCGCGTCAAGACGGCCGTGGCCGTGAGCTCGGTGGTCTGGGCCACGGAGCTGGGCGCCAACTCGGCGCCCCTGTTCCACGATGAGCTCTTCCGAGACCGCTACAACCACACCTTCTGCTTCGAGAAGTTCCCCATGGAGGGCTGGGTGGCCTGGATGAACCTCTACCGGGTCTTCGTGGGCTTCCTCTTCCCCTGGGCGCTCATGCTGCTGTCCTACCGGGGCATCCTGCGGGCGGTGAGGGGCAGCGTGTCCACCGAGCGCCAGGAGAAGGCCAAGATCAAGCGCCTGGCCCTCAGCCTCATCGCCATCGTGCTGGTCTGCTTCGCGCCCTACCACGTGCTCCTGCTGTCCCGCAGCGCCGTCTACCTGGGCCGCCCCTGGGACTGTGGCTTCGAGGAGCGCGTGTTCTCTGCCTACCACAGCTCGCTGGCCTTCACCAGCCTCAACTGTGTGGCCGACCCCATCCTCTACTGCCTCGTCAACGAGGGAGCCCGCAGCGATGTGGCCAAGGCCCTGCACAACCTGCTGCGCTTCCTGGCCAGTGACAAGCCCCAGGAGATGGCCAATGCCTCTCTCACCCTGGAAACCCCACTCACCTCCAAGAGGAGCAGCGTGGCCAAAGCCATGGCGGCCACCTGGGCAGCAGTTCCGCCCTCCCAGGGGGACCAGGTGCAGCTGAAGGTGCTGCTGCCCGCACAGTGAACCTGCCTGGGCAGAGCCCCATCCTCCCATCTTTTCCCAAACCCCTTATCCCCTAGTTCTGGTGTATGCAAATTGTATGTAAATAAGGCTGTGTTAATATTCATAAAATACAGGAAAATAGGAAAAGAATGGAGTCTGTGTGTCCCTGGTCAACCATCCTCCCACTCTGTGACCCCCTAACAATTCCAGTTAACTGTCCCCAGCCCTGTGCTGTGCAGTCTGGTGAACAGCAGTGACCCTTGTCCCATGGGCTCTCAGACCCTGCCACCGGGGTCTTGGAGGCCTTCCTGGAGAAGGGGATGGGTAAATTAAGTCAAATATTTGGTTTTCAAAAGGTGAAGACAAAAAGGAGAAAATTAGGATTATTTACAGCATGGAAGTAAAAATCTGTGACTCAAGGGGAAGATGGAGAAATTTACTGACTATGTAGTCATCACCTTTGCTCTTGTGACACTTCCTGCCCCCGGGTCACATCTGGGAGACAGTGATAGAGCAATTCTGAGATTCTAGATAAAAAGCATTCTCCAAGTCAGGACTGAAGAAGAGGAATGTCAGAAACCAAGTGACAGGCAATCAGGGCAGACTGCCTGGAGGCAGTGTGAGCAGCACAGGCTTGGGCAGGAGGCTCCACAGGAGAAAGAGTACATTCATTCATTCGTTCCACAGAGATCTATACCTGGCCCTGGGCCGAGTTGGGCTAGGGACGCAGCAATAGGAAAGCCCTGGCTCTGCCTGTCCTCACTGGGCTCAGAATAAACAAGTACAAAAATGAATACAAGCCAGGCACAGCGGCATGTTTGTAGTCCTAACTACTTGGGAGGCTGGGGCAGGAGGCTCACTGGGCCCAGAAGTTGGAGAACAGCCTCGACAACACACAAATCCCCATCTCACTGGGTGTGGTGGCACACACCTGTAATCCCATCTGGGGCTGTGGCAGGAGGATTGTAAATTCAAAGCCAGCTTCAGCAAAGGCCAGGGACTACGCAACTCAGTAAGCCCTGTCTCTAAATAAAATACAAAATAGGGCTGGAGACATGGCTCAGTGTTTGAGTGCCCTGAGTTGAATCCCTAGTACCAAAAAACAAAACAAAACAAAACAACCCATTGAAAAACACCACTACTACTAATGAAAATAAAAATCAGCTGAGCGTGGTGGTGCAGGCCTGCAATCCCAGCTACTCTGGGGGTGGAGGCAGGAAGATCTAAAGTCCTAGGTCAGACTGGGCAATTTAGCCGGACCCTGTCTCAAAATAACATTAAGGGGGGCGGGGTAGGGGTGTAGCTCAGTGTAGAGGCTTGCCTCGGATGCACAAGGCTCTGGATTTGCTCTGCATACTGGGGGAAAAAAAAAGTATGGAATTGCTAAGTGGAAAGGTGAAGAATCAAGCCAGTTGAAGGGATAGAGTGACTGGGGTCTGATCTAAACTGGGGGCAGAGGAGGGCTCACTGAGGAGGCTTATTAGCAAAGACCTGAAGGAAGTGAGACCATCAACCCTGTGGGAAGAACATTCCAGACAGAAGGAAGAGCAAGCCCTGGGCTAAGAGCATCTGGATTCTAAGGGACCATAGCTATAGCAGTGTGGCTGCCGAGGGAGGCAGGGCAAAAGGAGTGGGAGATGAGACTGGAGGGGCACAGGCAGTGCATGCCGGGCCAGTAAGTCTCCGCAAGGCCTCTGTCTTTTACTCATGGGGGCCATGAGGGGCTCTCAGCAGAGAACTAGTGTGACTTAAGTCAGGATCCTGCCGGCTGCTGCATGGAGCATAGAATATGAGGTGGAGGTGAAGGCAGGAGCCAGGAGCCCAGGGAGGTGACTGCAGACTGGAGGTAGGAGACCTCAGTGCTGGCAGGGAGGGAGGGGGGTGGGCTGAACAAGGAGCAGTGGTCACCTTTAGGATTTATTTTGAAGGAGTACTTGGATGGAGGAGGCGCAGAGGCCTGTGGGGTTATGTAATATGAGCCACTCACCCATTCCGGGAAGGGTGTCCCAGAGACCTGAGTGGAAAGGGCCTCTGGGAATGATCCAAGGCCCCAGTCCAAGGCAGTCAGTGGGGAGGCTGGGCCAGGGGTCCAAGGTCTTGTGGATGGTGAGTCAATGCTGGGGCCACCCTGGATTCCCTCTCCTCCACATCTGTGCATCTGTTCCCACGCCCCAGCGTGGCCAAAGCTGCCTGCCAGGACTGATGGTGTCCCTCTTCCTCTCCTGGCCTCAGGGGTCACTAGGAATGACTGTTATTCTATAACCAGGCTGGAGAGAAGGAGGAAGCAATGGCTTTGATAGGCTTGGTCCCTCCCAAGAGATCTCTCTCCCTCCCCCCTCCCAAAGGGTATGTAAACAGGCTGCTGAGATGGAAGAGTCCCCTACACACACACCCTTGCCCCAGAAGTTCCAGAAGAGGTTCCTGGAAACCCTTTGAGGAGAAAGAGAGGAATGGAGGGGAAGGAACCTAATGAGGAAATGTGGAGGGGGCTGAGGTGGAGTGGGGACGAGCAGAGTCCAGAGGGGAAGGAGTTGGGTTTTGGTGTTGGGGGTATCATGAGGGAGGGCTTTCTACCTGTCACATCACCATGAAGCTGCTGGTATAGAGCAGTCAGGGCTGGGAACTTCTTCAACACACTTCCCTAGGAGAATCTGGTGGAAGCCTCAGTACCCTCCTCTCACCAAATGCTCATTCATTCCCATTCATTCAAGAAAATGTTTTTGAGCACCTACTATGTGCCAGAAACTGTATTAACAGCTAAGAAACAGTGGATTATATATCAAAAAGTCACAAACAAGTTTGGTTTCCAAACCCATCACGGGGGTCCTTGGGCTCCATGAGATCAGAAGTTGGTCTGGAATTCTTTCCATCCTCTGTCCTCGGTTGGCCAGTCTGTAAAATAGGAAGAGGGCTGGTCCCAAGTGGATGATGGGCTTTAAATAGGCCTCGGCTCCCTCAGTTTGGTCCAGAGGGATGCTGGCATGGGTTGTTTTTATGGAGTCCACATACTTAATTTAGGGTACCTGGGTTCACACAGTGCCTCCATTACAAATGAAGGAACGCAGGTCTCTTGGAGGCAGGAACTTGATAGCACGCTCAGAGAGTCAGAGGATGCTGGGGAAAACTGGAGGGGCCCTGACCATCCTGAATGGTTTCCTTCACCCCGTCCTTCTGCCTCCCCTGCAATCACTCAACCACCCACCAGCACTCCACCACCCAGCCATGTCTTTCAACCCCTTCCTGATCTTGTTTATATGATTTTGCTCCCTGCCGGATAAGGGAGGACAGTCTGGGACATGTCCTTAAACTCCTTCCTGAGCCATCTCCCTGGGGACCCTCACCCCCCAAAAGAGGAAGTGGGGCAGCTTGAGAAAGGGTTTTATTAGCCAAGATGCCGCCATCAACTCTGCAGAGGGTGAGAAATCTTGCCATCAACTCTGCAGAGGGTGAGAAATCTTGCGCGCCACCCCCTGCCTCTCTCTGGGCCTCAGACTGTCAGTTGCTGGGGAAGGGACAGTAGCCAGCGGCTTCTGGGTGTGGAATGCCCCTCGGGCTGGAGTCAGCGATATTAATGCTCATACCCCTAGAGCAATAAGGGCTGCTTACTGAGTGCTTTCTATGTCACTGGCACCATTCCATGCACTTAATGGGATTCACTACTATGTTTTATATTCAAGATTCGCATAGAAGCCTCACAACAATCCAATTAGGCAAGTGCTATTGGGTCCCATTAAGTAAACAGGAACAATGATGTCCAGAAAGGTTGTCACTCCTTCATTATCACACAGCAAATAAATGCAGTTTTCCTCTCTGTATTCCCAAGGAGGGCTCTAACTTGTGCAAGACGGTGTAATTGGGGCTCATTAGACCTAATTAGGGCTAATTAAGAGCCTTCTTTGGGCGTGAAAGGTTCCTCAGTACGTGACATCACTCAAGAGCGCAGTGACATCACGCCACGCGGGACTCCATCCACGCTCCCGCCAGGAGCCGTTTAACGGCAACACCACAGTCGCCTCATTTCCGCCCTAATTTGCATATGCAACGAACAGACGTCGAGGCGCCAGCGTCGACGCGGTGGCGTCACGGAGCGCCCCTGCAGTTATCCCCGAGCGTGCGTACGCACGCACGCAAGCACGCACGGCCGAGAGGGCGGGGGAGGAGTGGAGAGGTCGGAGGCGCCCCGCCCAATCGGCAGGATTGCGCGTGCCCAGTGCGACCGCCAAGATGGTGGTAGGCGCGTTCCCCATGGCGAAGCTGCTATACCTGGGCATCCGGCAGGTCAGCAAACCGCTTGCCAACCGCATTAAAGAGGCTGCCCGCCGAAGCGAGTTCTTCAAGACCTATATCTGCCTTCCGCCGGCTCAGCGTGAGTCTAACCCCTTGTCCCTCCTACCTTTCCATTCTCCGACCCCTCTCAGGTGGTTGCTCAGGGGATGGACTTCTCTCCATGACCAGTCACAGCCCGAACCGGCAAAGTCCTACAGCCAATAGGGAGGGCTCCTGGAAGAGGGACCTGGTGGTAACCCAATGGTGAGGACGGGCTTGGAGTAAGAGGTGGGAAGGGGCGTCACCGCGCGAGATTAGAATATCAGCCAATAGAGGAAGAAGCTGTGGAGACTGACGTCAAGGCCAGCCAATAGTGTGGGGAATGGGAGCAATTTGGGCGGGGCTTTCCACGACGGCGAGGAGCTAGGGGCGGGTATAAGGGGTAACCAGTGTCGGGTCCTTTGCCTAGCCATCCTTCGGTGACTTTGCTCTCAAAGCTTCAACCCTTGCCTTAATTTCCCTTCTGCCCCGGAAGTGGGAGATACTTACATATCATTCACTTAGAATATCGGCGTGCTGTGTAGTGTTACTTCGTAGAATAGACCTAATTAAAGGCGTGGTGGTGGTGGTGGGTTAAAATCTTCAGTTTGAGGATTTGACTTGAATATGGCGAAGGGGAATTTAAATCAGAGTGGACACTCATCTGTGTATTCATTAATTCTCTGATGCACCGTCCATTCATTCAGTATACAGATCGACAGGTCTTTTGCTAGGCACTAGGAGATACATGTCAGCATCAGCCCAGAGTGGTCAGGGAGCAGGGAGCACTTGAGTTCATTGGACCCAAGGGCTAGAGGGGAGCTGCCTGAGCTGAGTTAGAAGGGTGTTTGAGCAAATGCCCAAAATATAAGCAACTTTAAAAAGATGATCTATGTGTCATAGGCCGATGGGGGCATAAAATAAGAGACTTTAATGTAAGTTACTGTGTTCGGGAACCAGCATTTCACCAAATATTTACCCATTACTTCATTTAGGTGGTATTTTATGATCATCTATTCTGTTCCAGAACTTGTGCTGACAGAGCTTGAAACAGCAGGGTCCAGGTGGACATGGTGGCACACACCTGTAATCCTAGAGACTCTGGAGGCCAAGGCAGGAGAATCCAGTTCGAGGCCAGCCTCAGCAATTTAGCAAGGCCTTAAATAATTTAATGAGACCCTCTCTCAAAAAAAAAAAAAAAAAAACCCGCAGGGTCCCAGATGGTCACAGTTACTATCTTCAAGGAACTCTGGGTCCAGTGGAGACCGACAGACCCATCCTCCAACAGTGACAACCCAGATGAGCCAAGCTGGAATGGGGGAATCTCCTTATGTACAGACCTGGCATGAGGTTCAGTGAGGGCTTCTTGGGAGAGGAAATATCTGTACTGAGACTTGAGGATTGAGGAGAGTTGCACCAGACAACACAAAGGCGTGGTGGTGGTGGGTTGTAGTCCCTTGTTGAGGCCAAGGGTAGAGCGTGTGCCAAGGCCAAATGGTTAAGAGGACCCTTTTTCCTCCTATAAGGTCGAGAATTCTTTTTTTTTATATAATTATTATTTTTTAATACTTTTAATTTATTTATTTATTGTTATGTGGTACTGAGGATCAAACCAGGGTCTCGTATGTGCTAGGCAAGTGCTCTACTGCTGAGCCAGAACCCCAGCCCAAGGTTGAGAATTCTTGATCCTTTGGTGTTTGATGGAGCCTCTGTCAGGGCTGCAGGTCTTAGAATGGAAAAAAATGTTAGGTCCCATAGTTACCAGAATGCTTTCATCTCATCTATCCCATTTGACCCTCACAACTAATTTGTCCTAATGTCGGGAAGCAGAGAGGACTTCCTCCATTGTATGAAGGAAAAGCCGAAGCCTGGTGGGGGGCCAGAAGTGAATGCTGAGCTCATACAGGAGGCTTGTACCAGAGGCAGGAGTTGGACTCTGGACTCCCACACCTCATCTGTTTCCTGCCACTGCCTTTCTTCCAAATACTATGACATGTCTTGCATTGTGGTTTAGAAAATGACTTCTGGAGTCAAACTGACATGGATTAGAATCCTGGTCCCACCCCTTCTCAGGCTGGTGCCTTTGGGCAAGTCATTGAATTCCTCTGATCCTGTTTCTTCTTCTGTATGAAGGATATTGTATAATAGCAACATTTGTTGGGCAGTTACTTTATTTCAGGCTGAGTGCTACCAAGCACTTATGGGATTAAATCCTCACAGATCATTATGTAGTACATACTAGAATCATTCTCATTTTATGTACATACTAATATATAATATATTATATATATATATATAAAATATATACTTTTTAATGTGTATGCTGGGCATTGAACCCAGAGGTGCTTAACCACAGAGCCACATCCCAGCCCTTTTTATTTTTTATTTTGAGTCAGGGTCTTGGTAAATTGCTTAAGGCCTCACTGAGTTGCTGAGGCTAGCTCTGACCTTGTAATTGTCCTCCTCCTCCCAAGTCACTGGAATTATAGGCATATGCTATCATGCCCAGCTATATATGCTTTTATGTTATGAATAATATTGTGTTATTGTGAGAATTCATGAGTAAATGTTAAGTCAGTGTTTGGCACCAAGTCAGGGCTGTTGTGTATGTTAGAGACGTAACAGAGAGGAAAAGAACTGGGTTTGATCCTCATCACCACATAAAAATAAATAAATAAAATAAAGATGTCCATCTACAACTAAAACAAATTTTTTTAATTAGTTGTTCAAAACATTACAAAGCTCTTGACATATCATATTTCATACATTTGATTCAAGTGGATTATGAACTCCCATTTTTACCCCGAATACAGATTGCAGAATCACATCGGTTATAAAACAAATTTTTAAAAAATAATATTGATAGCAATATTACTTAATATGTAGGTCTTTGGTTGTTCCCAAAGTTCCCTTTTTAACAATCGTTTATTTTTATTCTTAATTTTAATCCAGGGTCTGCTCAGGGATCATGTACTACATTTGATTATCATGCCCTTTTCATATCCTTTAATCTACAATAGTTGGGCAGTCCAGCCCACTACTTGTCTTTGTAAATAATATTTTTATGGTACTAGTGATTGAACTTAGGGGCGCTTAATCACTGAGCTACATCCCCACCCCTTTTTATTTGAGGCAGAGTCTCGCTAAGTTGTTGCCTCAGCCTCCTAAACCACTGGGATTACAGGCATGGCATGTGCCCCCATGCCAGCTATAAATACATTTTAAGTGGTAACACTGGCAGGTCTGTTTGTTTCCATATTTGTTTGGCTTATGTAGGAGTTATGGGAGCTTCCCTTCTCTCCCTCCATGGTTTGATAATTGAGCCTCTGAAAGACCCATAGACGATTAACAGAAGGTATTGGCATAAAATTGATCTGGCACTGGGGTGCAGCTCAGTGGTAAGGCATGTCCTTAGCTTGCTCAAGGGCCTGGGTTCTATCTCCAGCACCAAAACCAAACCAAACCTATTATAATGCACTGGACATCACATGAAAAATAAGTAAATTCTTATGAAGCTGGTGAAATCAAAATCCTTTCCATAAGAGAGGGCAGGCGAGCTTGAGGGCAGTCCAGGAAGAGCAAGTGCATGTGGAAACTCAGATGAGTAGGTGATGGCCTGCCGTGAACCTCGGAGCTCCTCGCCTGGCTGCTGTACCTGGAGCATCTGCCTTCGGTCAGATGGAGGAGACTCGAGAACCCCTCCTAGCCTCTGCTGCTCCTCCTGCTCTAAGCCATCAGCGCACCAGTGTGGTGTATTTTGAGATGTTAGGTCCTGGCCGCCGTCATCCACGATGCTAAGCTGTTTATCCTCTGGCCCTTTACAGAGGCAGTTTGCTGACCCTGCTCTAGAACGTATCGATGCCCTTGTGTTTCATGACATTGACGCCTGGAGCCAGTAGTCCGTTAGTGTGCCACTGTGGAGGTTCCTAAGTGCTTCCCCTAATGGTACTCGACTGTGTGTCTTTGGCAGGAGTACCATGGGTGATGGCATATCCTGAGGCCAGCCTGGGTGGAGAGTGGGCTGGTGTTTGTCTGTCCCGTCATTTGTGGAGGTAACTTGGATCCCTTAGTTACAGTGTTAACAGTGAGGGGAGCCCTTCCTCTTCCTCTTTGGGGGAGCGGCCAGTAGAGGGGTTGGGTGGTGGAGCTGGCAGGATGTCCTGGGGTGGTGGGAGAGGGCAGACTGCAGGGCCACTGGACAGAAAGGAGCCAGAGCTCGATTTGGGTCAGGACCAGTGGAGATGATACTGGACACTGGAGTGCCCTGGCTGATTGTAGTCACACCTTTTAATTATGTCCTTGTCATCTTCACACTGCAGATTGCCCTTTGCTCAGATCTCTGGCCAGGGCAGTAGCAGAGTTGGAATTTTCCAGAGTCAGTGGCCGCTGTGTGTTCTGGGTCACACCCCACTCTGGACATGACCAGCACATCCAGTGCCTGCCTTTGGCTGAGGTTGCCTTGACTCCACAGGGTAGGCCTGATGGTCTTCTCCTGCTCAGGCTAGAGCCGTGGCACTGGCTGACTGAGCTAAACCAGGAAGCGCAGAAGCAGGAGCCGCGCTGCTGCGAGGCAGAGATTTCCACCTGCATTTTCTGGGGTGCTGAGGATGGAGCCAGGGCCTCCTAGGGAAGCACTACTCTGAGCCGCACCCCAGCCCCAGATTTTACTAAACCGAGAACTCCTGGCAGAGGAGTTAAAGAGGTTGCTGGAGGCCAAGCTGGTGGTGGGGGATGTGAAGCACCCTCGTGATGTCTCCAGGGAAACTGGGTTGTCTCTGGACAGTGAGAAACGTCCAGGTCGTTTCTACTTATTCCTCTAGAGTGCACCAGTCATCTGTCCATTTAACACACACACTAGGCAGAACAGTGGTCCCCCAAAGATGACGGTCCCTCATATCTGCCTTAGTCAACTTTTCGTCTATAATGAAATACCTGAGGCAGGCCAGGGAAGGGAGGGGAACCAACCCTCTTGGAGCAAAAGAAAGCAGGGAAAAGAGCCACGAAGGGGACTGAGCACCAGAGCCATGGATACCTGGGGGACATTTCCAGCTTCACATGGCCTGTGGAGAGGGACCCAGGCTGTGAGGAAGGTGGGCAGGAGCCTCCTCTGCACACCCGGTGCACCCCAGGCGTAGCTCCAGACAGTGGAGGTTGACCCTCAATGGAGAATTTCTCCCGTGGGCTCAGCCTGAATTCTCTTGAAGGCCCTGGAATAGCAAGTTGGGAAGGAACCCAGGTTCGCTGTGCCCTGAG